CTGCTCAAATCCTCTCTGAACTTTATTTCTAAATGTCACCGTTTTTTATTGAATCAATGGAAATTTGAAAGAAGAAACAGAATAAACACCCAGAGAAGATCAAGGGAGTTAGAAAAGTCTTTATAGAATGCCATCTTGAGTTTTATGTGAGCCAGGGTGCTGTCAGTCCCCCTGAAAGGGGTGGTGAGGAACCTGTCACTCTCCATCCTCAACCTGAGTATTCCTAAAGGCTAAAAAGGGCTACACAGGAATGCAAAAGAGAAAGAATATTATTAAGATTTTTCTTAATATTATAAACAAAGGAATCATGAGTTAAATACTAAGCACTGCAGATAAATTCACTTTAAATCACAGGCTTGAAGTTGAGGGAGTTCATTAAAGTATTTCAACTTTCTTTATAATTCAGGAAACTTTTTTTATAACACTCTTGTTAGAACTCTAAGTGGGAGTGAGTTCTCCTTTTTGGAAGGTAGTCAATGAAAATAAAGGTTTTAACTTATTTTAAGCTGAATCCGGTTCCCCTGTAACTTGCACCTGTTGGCCAAAGTTCTGATGTCTGAAATCATGGAGAAACAATTTAGGTAGGCTGATTAACTCTATTAGCTATGAATATATTTTATCAGACTCAATTTTAAAACCTATTCAATTTAAAATCAGAAATTCCTAAAAATCTCTACATTCTGAATGTTAACAAAGGAGAATTGTAGATTGCTGGAGACAGGCAGATAATATGAAATAATAGATCATGCTGGAATGGTGAAGAAATGGAGAATGGCCAAAGAGAACAGCACATTCCTCATCCTGGGAAAATTGTTGACATGAGGAAATGTGGTCCAATGTTGCAAGACCTGCAACTTTTCCAAGAGAAGGCTGAAATTCACAATTTTCATGTGAATTATGCCAATGTTTAAAGTGTTGGGAAATAATTCAATTTTTAAAATATCATATTGGCCAAACAAAACAGTTCTGTGGACTGAACTCAGCTGTGGCCCACAAGTTTACAACTTCCAAGTGATCTTAAAAGTTTTATTTAAAGAGAAAATATCTATAGTTACTATTTTAAACACTAGTATACATAAAGTGAAATACCAACATATTGCAAATGTTATTTTATACTTGAAAGAAACTAGTTAGAACAGTCTAAGATTTAAAATTCTCCAAATTTTAGAGTGTCCACTGATGCCATAGCCTCCTTTATATAAACACAAGATTCACACAGCAAATTAACTCCTTAAAGAATATTCAATAAATGTAACTTTTTTTTAAGTTGCAAATACAAAGAAAAAATCTCTAGCTAGGCAAGATCAACTACTTGGCAACATAATTTAATTTAACAACCAGCTTGACTTGTGCTATGGTTTGTGACTTTATCTGATGGATGTCAGAGAAACTTTGAATTCTCTTATATTGTTATCCTCTACTGCTATCTTAATTCAGATAATGAGATAGGGTGATCTACTGTCAATGAAAGAATCATGTATTTGAAAAAGAATCATGTAATTTGATATCTATCATATGATTGAACTTTGTTTTCAGGACTAATGCTAAAAATTGAAAATGGGAAGATTAATTCCCTCTTTGATAGCTAGTTTAAATATTAAAAGTATCTTCTGTAAAGATCTATTAAAATCAATTAGATTTCACTTAATTCTTATTAGCCAAAAAGAACAAAAGAGCCATTATAAGCATATCACTATAAAATACTCAGAACCATTCAATTTTTTCACACATCAGGGTTTTTTTTACATCCAAAGCACGCTGCTTTTGACTCTGCCAAAACAATGAAAACCAAATTGAATGTGAAATAACAAAAGATTTATATCAAATACAAATAAACATTTCAATAAACTTGGAGTCAGAGAGAATAGAAGAGACATAAAAACCAGATGTTTAATTTAAATCACTGGTAGAAATAGTCAGTGTCTTCTTTTTATAAACCACTTATATTGTATTTGTATTCAAAAGCAATGGTAAATGTCAAATGACTACTAGACCATCCTTCTGAATACAAGAAAATATCATGCTGTTTAACTCTCAACACACAAAAAGTACTTCTAGAAAAACAAAGATAAAGAACAGCATGTCTTAGTCACACAGATCAATTCAAGAACCTCGAAATGCTAAAAGGCACCATGAGCTGAACAGTAAAGACTGTCAATTTTTGAAATTTGAAATTTTTGAACTTCAAAAGAATGTCTTAAAAACTCTTAAATCCAGGATAAAACTTAGATCTAATATCTGAGAAGAGTATCAAAGGGATATTTTATTAAACACAGATCCTTTTTACATATAGTATATATAAAATATTATCAAAAGGTTCTATCATACTTTAATTATGAAAGAAAATAATTAGGTTAGTTTTGAAAAAAGAAAACTAAAAATTTTACATATAAGTATCACTTGTGTGTGAATCCCAACTATGAAATGGAATATTGACTCATTAGCTATTTGCTTTTTGTTTGTCTTCACCAGTTTTTACTGCAGCAATGACAGGAAAATACATCCATCAGAAAAGCCAAAGAAAAGTCAAACAAGTCCTCTACATTTAATAGGAATACCATAGCAAACGCTGATGAAAGAATTAACTGAGGACATGTGCAAAGTGCTTATTAATTACCTGGGTAATAAAGTGACTGTGCTCCCCTTTATCCTTACATGGTTCACTATCATCTCACTCATTATGTCTTATGCCACCTAGAGAGCAACCATGAAACCATGAGAGCAGCAGGGACTCAGTGCCCACTGTCAAACACAGTACCAAGCATTTAGTAGGGGTTCCTAAATGCTTCTGATTTACTAGAGGATAATAATGAACAGATGTAAAAGAGATGCTAATTGATAGGCTAAATGCATTAGTGCATCCCAGTGCCCTCTATATGAAAGGTTACTAACCCATCTGAGCTAAGTGCTAAAATTATAATTAAATCTGATGGGAAGTCCTAGATTTATACCAATATAATTACAATTATTACTTAGCTTAGTGAAAGAGTATGGCAAGAACAATGAGATGAGTAATTTAGATGATACTGCAAAGTGCGTTTGAATGTTTGAAACTTCGATTCCAGTACACAGGATAAATGCGAGCAGTGTAATTAAAACCTAAGAGTCTGATCTTTAAAACTCCATGCTCAGCCTCATTAAAATGCATGTTTTCTCAATTAATCCAAACTTTTCCATTAAAAACATAAAAATACACTTTCATTCCTTGAAAATAAATCTCTACAGCACATATATTTAGGATCAAATACAAAATAACCATTACAGCTAAGTAGGAAAAACTGACTGAAACAGTAAGAGGTTTGGTAGATGGAGCCTAACCAAAGGAAGAAAAGGCCAACTGAGAACTGTCTGGTGTCTCATTTGTAAAAACTAAGTAAGTTTTTGAAGAGGGCTTGTGGGTTGGAAATCCCTAAATATATTTGTTCAAATGATACAAATCTAAGCAAACTCTTTATAATGGTTCTGAGATAACCCTTATAATCATAAATGGGCTGAATCTTATTTACTCTCCATTTACTCTCCCAGTAACTGACTGGGCTACACAGCAGGTACGCAGAAAACTGTTGTGGAATAAAAGACAATCATTTTCATAATCATTTTGTTGCAGAAACAGTTTTCTCCTTTTAATCTGATACATTACTAGGTAGTTTATCTCAATATTAAGCTAATGGTAAACACCTAAAAACAGAGGATAATTTTTTATGTACTTTATTTTGTTAGTTGTTATGAAAAACATTTAAAAGATTTTAAAGTTGTCATATAATCTGTTATGAAGAATGTTGATTATAGAGAAGAATTTTATTTAAAATATTTTTATCAATTTCCTCTAGGTTTTGATATACTTCATACAGTGACTATTACTAAAAACAAACACCTTTTATAAATGAAGAATGTGTCCATTCTAGATTAGTAAATTTTTCAAGACTGAGCCAAGTCAAAGTATTACATACTTTAAAGAGTAATGCAGGGTAATTTAAGAAAACATCATTAGAATTTGCCATAGTTGGGGAAAATAGATCCTATGCAATATTATTTTTAAAGTATAGAAGGAAATTAAAAGTGGAGGGACGTGAAACCTATATAATTTTATTAACCAATGTCACCCCAATCAATTTATTTTTTTTAAGTGGAAGGGAAAGTGTCTTAAAACTAAAGTATTATCAGACACAAACTTAAATTATTGTTGCTATTTGTGAAAAAACACTTAAATCTAAATAGGTTCTAAGTTTAGGTGAAATAGTGCTTTCTATTTTGAAAGCAAAATATTTTTGGAGGTCTATCTTTAAAAAAAAAAACAACTTAGTCTGGAAAAGTCACGGGGCAAAAACCGGTCTTGTGCCTATATATAAGAGCCTACCTAAGCTAATCAGTAGAGGTACAGTAGTTACTACTTTGCAGTTGTTTCCATTATAAAAAAGTCTACTCTCAAGGATTCTTGAATCTTTTTTCCCTTCATGCAACATTTCAAAGAAATATAATTGTATCAGTGTTTATATGAAAAACACTGGCCGTTATACACGTCTTTACTCTATGTCCATCACATGACTTACCCTTTCAAAACAAATTATACAGAGAACAAGATGCCATCCTTGAGAAAGGATCTGTGTGTATAATGTTTGAAACAATTTCTAAGAATCATTTTCCTTGATAAGTGAACAGGGAAATAAACCATAAAAGTTGCAAATGTATTAAAGTAACAAATAGCAATATATCCTGGATGGATGACAAAGAAAAAAAATTCAACAGACTTCTGTTGTTAAAACTGTTTAGGCAAACATTTTAATCTGAGCACATGAAAACCGTGTTGCAAATACACGTCAAGGATAGATTAAAAATAAACAGCTAGGTTTTCAAAATTTAAACATATCTACTTGAAAAGGCATGGCTACCTTAAATTTTCCTTAAAGTTGACATGCCTTGTTATAATGATAATTAGTATCTGGTACATAGTACACATGTTTTCTACTGGGAAACTGTTTTTAAGATATTACATTTGTTACCTGTCATTTATGATCCAGTTCAGACAGAGATTGAGAGAGCTAAGATTTTTGCACCTCTTGACAATTTCCATCACGGTTTCATTATCCAGTTCAGTGATATGACGTAGGTCCAAGCTGGAAAGGTTCCTTAGCTAATGAGATAAATAAAATGAAAGATGAAAAAAGTAAATGTTACATTCATTCTCAAAGTAGAGTATCATAGTACAATATTTAAAATAGATAATAAACTATTTAAATACTATTTTACATAGTAAATGAGAAATGAGGGCAGAAATATATGGTGAATATATGAGTGACAACACATTAAAATCAAACAGATTTTATTGAGAAACAATAAAAATAAAAAGCTAGCAATCTAATACATGGGAAAGCTGTTAAATGTATTACATTATGTACCCACAAACTGATAAGATTATTCTAACATTGTTTGATTTCAGATATATATATCTTTATGATTATGATGCCACTTTTGCATAGGTTTTCTCATTTTTTAAAAGATGAAATATGAATTAAGTAGTGAATTCAGAGATATCTTGGTGCTATTTTATCAATGTACTCCAAAAAGTGTACTATTCCAGGTTGTGTCGAAAGCAATATAGCATGTTGTTTAAGAAGTAAAGTTCATCTAGCTGACACTTCCCCCAGTTCTTCATTTTCTCTACTCTTTCCTGATGTTTCCTGTCTTCCCCTGATGTTTAGTCTCTAAGTAAAGGAAATTAATCATATTGTTTACACAAAGATGGTAGGATCTTAATTATCCTCTTCAAATGAACTACATTTCAAATAAGCTATCTTTGCTTAACAACATTTACTTGTAAGGGGATCTAAGCTCTTGAAAGAAATGCAACTCCAATTGAGACCTTGCTAAATGCCTTGTGGGATGCTGGACAAAAACCAGCTTGTATTGTCTGAACTCCCGACCCATGGAAACAGTAAGATGATAAATATACATTCATTGTTTTAAGCTGCTAAGTTTGTGGTAACTGTGCAGCAATAAAAAATTATTACAGAATATCTTGAGGATAAGCCAGGTTTCTCTTCAGAGAAGGGGGGTATTCTTAGTTCCTTTAAACATGGGGGTCGCTGCCCTGCCCTAGATGCATGTGCTCACAAAAGCACGGAGGAGGCGCTCGGTCCACACAACCCCCTCCTCTATGTGTAGCTTCAGCTGCCAAGAAAGTACTTTCTGGGAAGACCGGTAGCTCTGATGTAGCCATTACTTTTCTATATAAAAACCACCATTTTCTTAAACCACATTATTTCCACCGTTAGCTCTTTTATACAGAGTATTTTTAATCCCAACACCCAATACCGTTTTGCTGTTGGAGATGTACTGTTCTGAGAACATGTGAAAAACTAAATAGCCTCTGAATTGCAGGTGCGGGCGGCTTGCTGGGCTCATGCCCTGAAAGCAGCCTCATGCCTGTACCACAGGAAAATCAGAAATACAGGAAAGGCCTCCAGGGCTGCTTGAAAATACTTGAAGCATGACTATTAAACCTAAGAATGTTAAGGATGAATTTTGCTATGTATAACCATGTACATATGTGAACTGTTGAACACAGCCACATACAGTACACAGAGAATTCTATTGTTTTCCTAATTATCCTTTATTATAGTCACTGGGAAGTCACATAATCATAAAAATTTACCCTGCCACACAAATATCTCCTATACATGTGTATTTCAGGATCCAGCACAGCTTCTGACACAAAATTTCTATGTGAATTCATACATATCTATTGGCTTCCTCCACTGTAAAATATCTCTTTGTCACAATAGTGTGAATGTACTTAATCCCCATGAACTCTATTCCTTAGAATTATTAAAAAGGTAAACTTTATGTTATGTACTTTTTACCGCAATAAAAAATATAGCTTCCTCCGACAGAATAGAAACATACAATAAAACTCCATGGAGAAGAAAATGGTACGTTGTTAGTGCCAGTTCAGTCCCCTCACATTAGGGAAGATAACTGAGGACCAAAGGGGTTTGAACAACTTATTAAAGTACAGATAATAGGGAGAGAGATGTTAGCAAATCTAAACTATCTTATAGACTTGGGGAAATGTAAAGGTATTTTCTAGAACAATGGAATGGCAAGGAGTAACCATTCCAGTAACTATCTACATGTGATAAAACTCTAATTGTGGCTGACTGACTTCTGAGCTATCGGATCCTGCAGCCAGGCCTCTTCCCCAGTGCAGGGGGTCAGACAATGACACTGGGCCTAGATGCTTCTTGTCAATAAATGGCACATTTCTTACCCCATCAATGGAGCACAGACTCATGCATGAGGAAACAGACTGACTTGGGCTCCCGCATGCCAGCATTCTACTGAGATCCTGAAGAGTGTTTTACTCTTGGATTCAATTACGGCTCATTTTTTCATGAGCTGACAGTCACTGACTATGCTCATGTGGCCTTCCCATGACCATTTTAGCCAGTTCAGCTTAAAATATGACAGCATCCAAGGGCAGTCCCAGGAAGACACATACTGAACACCTGTATGAGATGTGGCATTTTCATGCAAAACTCCACAAACAGCTCTGTCAAATCCATCACATTCTTTCCCTTGCTATGGGAATTTCATAATAGTGCCCTCCAGGGTTTCATAAAAAGCTACCTGAAGTAATCCTTCACAGTCTGAAACAAGTAATTACATGTAGGAAACTGACATTTTAATTAAACTTACTTTCCTTATAAATTCATTGGTAGTCTTGGGTTATACAATCACAGAGGATTTGAAGAAGCAAAGCCATACAACACAAGATCTTCTAAATATTTCCCTCCAGTTTTTAAACATTTATTAAAGTATTTTAAAAGAAACTCAAGTCAGAATGTAGGTAATCAACTTTCAGTTTAAAACCGCTTTTATTGGGAAAAATATTACTTTTTTAAAAATATATTCCATTTACTTCTTTACAGAGAGGAAGGGAGAGGGATAGAAAGTTAGAAACATCGATGAGAGAGAAACATCAACCAGCTGTCTCCTGCACACCCCCCACTGGGGATGTGCCTGCAGCCAAGGTACATGCCCTTGACTAGAATCGAACCTGGGACCCCTCAGTCCACAGGCCGACGCTCTATCCACTGAGCCAGACCGGCCAGGGTGGGGAAAATATTACTTTAATCAATTCAGGTCAAAAAGACTAAAATTAGCCAATGATCGGTATGACGTATATGCACTTAAGTATAACATGAGACACTAAAATGTTACCTAGGAAACACAGGCTTGGAGGATTATAAAAAGACCCTAAATGACTTCCAAATTTTCTTAAGACTCTGGAAAAGTAAAAAAATAAAACAAAATTCTCAATTGTCCAGGTTGCCTCCAGTAGATGAGGCAACAGAAGAGGACTCACAGAATCTTGGCAAAGACAGATAGCAGGGATGTCCCACTGTTTCAGGCTAACACGATAATTTATGTGATGCCAGCTGGAGGTGATAATTTTTGAAAAGACTAAATACGTCTGTGTAGTTAAATATGTTCAAATGTCAACTGGTACCTAATTTACTTCTTGCCAGCCCTGCAGACATTGGCTTCACTGGAGCTGAGTTTTAGGGCAATCGGTTGTAATCTTTAGGGATCAAGGCCAAGGGTGAAGACAGGTTGCCTCGACAGGGTTAACTGGGGCTGTAGATCAGTCCCACACCTCAGCTGCCAATCACCTGTCAGACTGCCAAGATGATTACTGGAGAGACCAAAGGCACCCAGAGACTGGGGTTAGAGAAAGGCACTTATAAGGAAACTGGGAAGATTCTCCTACTAGGGGCAGGGAGGGAGACACAGGAGAACGGCGGGGGGTTTTAGCATGGGTCCTTGAATGGTAAACTGGAAAAAATATGAAAGAAAACTAGGACTATTGTGGATGGGAAGGAGAGGGGCAGAGAGGGAATTCTTGTCCCCGAGCGTAGGAAGGCTTCCACACTTTGACAGGCTCTGATATCTACATTTAGAGAAGAACTTGATTAGCAAGACAGAGAATAAAGGGCAATCGTTCTGCTCAACTAGGCCTGCGCCTTGGCTTAGTTACAGCTGGCATTCGAGTACGGAGATAGTAATAAAAGCTGAATAAACCACACTTAGGACATCAGGCAAATCCTTCCCAGCATTCATAGAACTGAGAGCCTCAGTGAGAAACGAAAGCTTTTAAGTAGAGAGCCTGAGAGCCTGGCAGAGACAATACAATTTTCTCATCATGAAAATAGGACTTCCAGGGCCTTAAATGCTATCCCACCCACAGCAGTGACCATGTTAATTCTCTGGAACCTTCACCCAGTAATCCTTCCAATCGCTGCCTCTTACTCACACCAGGCTGCTGTCTTTTTGCTTTATTTCCAAATCCAAAGCCGGTTTGGTCCTTCCATTCTCCTACTGGATCTGACATCTTTTGCCATTTTTTTCACATTCTGTTTTGCTTTTTAGGTGACTTTACTGCACTGCTTCTCTTCAGAGCTTTCCCTTCTAACTCCTTCTTGCCACATCACCAGCCAGGTTAACATTCCTTAAATAACTTCAATCATATTGCCCACCTTGTCTGAAACCTTTAGGAAACAAAAATATTTCAACTGCAGAAAGGAATCCCAGCGCTTGCCCATTGAGGCCCTATAATGATCACCCCTACCACTCCCTGACATCTGTTAAACTAGCTTAAATCTATTTCCCAGGTTTTGAAACGTTGTTCTCACTGTGCTCAGAGAGCTGTGTTCATTATTTTAAAACAGATTTCACTTCCTGATTACTTTAGAGAGAGGAAAAATTGGTGAGTCTTGGAAATATAATATACTTGCCTTGACACAAATTACTAACTAGGCAGTCCTCACATAACTATGCCCATCAGGCAGGAATCATCGATTGGCAACAACTGCCAAGGGACCATGGGAGCAAAGTTCCCTTCCTGCTACAACTACTTAGGGGTCTCCTCTTTGTCTTCTCCCTCTCCTCCACCCTCCCTCTCCCTTTCCCTCCACCTCCCCCACCCAGTATTAAATAATATAAAACAACATTCTCATTCCGCATAATTAAAGGCCATTTTAGAACAAGAAGCATAATCAGTTCTCTATTTACATATCTGTTCTTAAAATGAAGACCATTAAAAATGAAAAAAATAAAAATAAAAAGCCTCCGTAAGTTGTCA